CTGAAGGACCTCCGAAGTCTCCCGGTCTAATTAGCATATTACCCTTTTATTAGATAGATAAGGAAGAAAGCTTCATGCCAAGGGGAAGGGGCAGGATAAGGGCTTCAGGGTCTGTGGTCCATGTGTCTCCTTCCAGGGTCTTAAAATCCCATGACAAGGTCGTTAATTTTCAATGGTGTTAAAACCCAGCTCCTGCCAGTTCCTGGGACTAGAGAATGGTCAGCATTCCTGAGGCAAATTCCCAGAGGGGGGCCAGGGTCCAGGCAGACAACAAAATCAAATTTCATCCTGTCCTTTGTCTGTTCTCAAAATGCATTTTCTTTTCTGAGCAATGGCCCCATCTGGGCCCCAAGGTGTCTCATCTTTTTACAGCTCTGTTTTTCTTCTTGAAGCACATCCTCATTTCCCTGGGTCTGTAAGAAAACCTCTTATCTATAGTCAGTAAGGTGAATAATCATTAAACAACTGTGATCCTATTCCTATTACATGCCCTCTCCCCTATCACTTAGACTCCTTGGAAGTGAAAATTGATCAAGCAAACCTAGGTTGAGTCTTTTTTATATTTTTTTTAAAATATATTTTTTTATTGATTTCAGAGAGGAAGGGAGAGGGACAGAGATAGAAACATCAGTGATGAGAGCAATCATTGATTGGCTGTCTCCTGCACAACTCCCACTGGGGATCGGCTCCACAACCTGGGCATGTGCCCTGGCCGGGCCTGGGTTGAGTCTTAATAAACAAAAATAGGGTAAAATTCCTTTGGTTTTAACTATACACATTTTGAGGAATCGCCTGCACTTAGTCTTGTGTTTCTTTTATGCTACACAAAGTAATTTGTGGCTGGATTTTGCAGGTAAAGGTCAGCCTTAATGTGCTTCTTAGAGGCTTCTTCTTTTTTTTTTTTTTTTTTTTAAATATATTTTATTGAATTTTTACAGAGAGGAAGGGAGAGGGATAGAGAGTTAGAAACATCGATCATCCGCCTCCTGCACACTCCCTACTGGGGATGTGCCTGCAACCAAGGTACATGCCCTTGACCGGAATCGAACCTGGGACCCTTGAGTCTGCAGGCTGACGCTCTATCCACTGAGCCAAACCGGTTAGGGCAAGGCTTCTTCTTTTTAACCACTTTTCAGATCTCTTTGTTCAAAATATTTTATTAAGTTTTAGTAAGCTTATAACCTTTTAGGTGAGTGCTGCTTTTTAACCTCTCTGAGTTCCATGGTTCTTTAGTCCTTATGCACAAGCCTAGCAGAACCACCTGGCTCTGTGGGGGAGCATGGTCATGTGCCAGTGCTGTCATGGTCATGATTTACCCTTCTGCTCTGCTCAGCTATGTTCTAAGATGCCTCCTCTCTGGGAGCCTTCTGATGGCTGGACCTCAGACAGTAACAGATGTCCCTGGCTTCCTCCAAGACAGGTTGCGCACACTTCCTTTGCTCACTCCACAGCAGGGGTCCTCAAACTTTTTAAACAGGGGGCCAGTTCACTGTCCCTCAGACCGTTGGAGGGCCGGACTATAGTTTAAAAAAAAACTATGAACAAATTCCTATGCACACTGCACATATCTTATTTTGAAGTAAAACAACAAAACGAGAACAAATACAGTATTTGTATTTGCATGTGGCCCGCGGGCCATAGTTTGAGGACCCCTGCTCCACAGTGTGTCCTGGGCTGTTTTCCACATCTGCACATCAGACCCATTGAAACTTTTTTTTAATATATTTTATTGATTTTTTACAGAGAGGAAGGGAGAGAGATAGAGAGTTAGAAACATCGATGAGAGAGAAACATCGATCAGCTGCCTCCTGCACATCTCCTAATGGGGATGTGCCCGCAACCCAGGTACATGCCCTTGACCGGAATCGAACCTGGGACCTTTCAGTCCGCAGGCCAACGCTCTATCCACTGAGCCAAACCGGTTTCGGCAGAAACTTTTTAACAGTTTGTGACAACAGTTGTGTAACGTGCATTGTCTCCTGTTCTTCACTACTGTAAGCAAGCCTGCAGTGAATACCTTTATGTGTGCCTTTGTGTATTTGTAGCTGGTAATAGCATGAAGAGACTGACATGCTCACTAGGCACAGTGCTTTTGGAAAGTAATTTTGTCATTATGTATTTTTCATAAGCCATAAAAACATTCATAAGCATTGGCACATTATAAACCTGCAAAAAATAATCTCCCCAAAGAGAAAGTTATATACCAGATATCCATTGCATGTTTATATCTGATAGCCCAAAACTAGAAGCAGTTTATGCATCTTTCAACAGGAGCATGCATGTGTAAATGTTGAAAATTCCACTTATGTCAGCCATTAAACTGCTGCATAGCCACTAGCAAGCAGCAACCTTAAGAAAGAGTGGCGCCCTAACCGGTTTGGCTCAGTGGATAGAGGTCGGCCTGCGGACTCAAGGATCCCAGGTTCGATTCCCGTCAAGGGCATGTACCTTGGTTGTGGGCACATCCCCAGTGGTGGGTGTGCAGGAGGCAGCTGATCGATGTTTCTCTCTCATCGATGTTTCTAACTCTCTATCCTTCTCCCTTCCTCTCTGTAAAAAATCAATAGAATATATTTTTTAAAAAAAGAAAGAAAGAGTGGCACAGTGATGACTGCCATTTTAGTAGCACTTTGCACCTCACAAAGCGCTCTTGGAGCCCGTGAGCTTCTGCAGATTGGGGTGAGGAAGTTACATCAGAATCTGTCTGCTCTAAGATTAGAATCTTGTACAGATTAAGTATACAAATGAATAAGGACTAGAAAGGAGCTCAAGAAGTTGAACTTGTCTAAATAATAATTGCTTTTTGCCCTTTTCCTTTTTTGAGTTAAATTTCCCTTCTTTATTTTAAAATGTAAGTAGTGATGTTGCAATAACATTGTGATAATCTTTGACATGACTTTCACTTTTGGTCCATGTATTAATTGAAAATATTCATTAAAGTTCTCATCAATACTTAGTATTTTTTAAGCATAAGTATTTGACAAAATCCAAGCAGTCTCTTCCCAGAAAAATGTTGTATATAAGTGGGCAGACAAAACAATTCCGGGCAGTTCAGGGACAGCCCCATCCCCAGTAACCCAAGGTTTGCAAACCCAGAATATGGTGTGTCTCCCTCACCCAAAGCCCCTCTGAGCGCTCCTCCTTGGGGCCCACCTGCACTTGTGCATCCTGGTGAGTAAAGATATATAAGCTATACTTGCTTACAGAAGCTATTGCAAACCTATGCGCTTAAGTGTGAAATCACACCCTTGCCCCTGGCAAATCATAGGAAGCAAAGCTAGCAAGCTGCTAGTAACTGTTCCTTACTGGGCCTGGAAATCGGGTGTTTGCTCTCTTGGTCTCCGGCCCAGCCCTGTAGGGTGGCTGCACTGTAGTCATCTGCAGGGAGCTAGGCTCGCATCGGATGGAGCTCCTCTGTTCTGATCAGGGCTTACAGACTTTACCGTGTCCCACCTGACTCGGGAACCCCCTTCTCTGTGTTGACAGGAGCAGAACCCTCCCAACGTCCCTGTGCCAGCCCAGGCCTCCAGCGTGGGGACCCAGCCGCCCACTGTGTCAGCGGCCAGCACTCACAGCAGCACCCCCTATCTCAGTGGCCAGCAGCAGGCAGCTGTAATGAAGCAGCATCAGTTGCTTTTGGATCAACAAAAACAGAGGGAGCAGCAGCAAAAGCATTTGCACCAACAGCAGTTTTTGCAAAGGCAGCAGCACCTTCTGGCAGAGCAGGTAAAGAAAAGTGGGAGAAAACCGTCCCCGTCCCCTCCACTCCCCCACATCTCATCCTGCCTCCCAAGGCACCGCAGTGGCCACGAGCTCAGCGGGGTGCCATGTGAATGTGCTCGGTGCATGTTTGGTATTAGAGTGCTTTGCCCTTTTAAACCCCGTTCTGTGAGTGGCATTTCTCAGACAGTGGTGGCCTGTGTCAGAAGCAGCTTTTATGTCATTTAGTAGGGATTAATGAAGGCAGAATCTGTGGCTAAAACTATATGTGTTTGGGACAGTTTTCCATATCCTTTGTCGGCAGCTGCCAATGCACTGAGCTTCCCAGTCCGTCAGTTTACTGTGGGCCAAGCTTGGTTGTAAATGTAGAGTTTGTGATAGGTCAAGAGTGTGAAGCAGGGAAATGAAGACCTGCCTGAGGTCCTGGGGTTGTAGGGTCAGGACCAACAAGCTCCCTCTAAGTCCTACAGTTCATCCACTTGGTCACCAAGTAAAGTGTGAAGGTGCCAAGGTTCTCAGGATTTTAAATTACATCTTTAAGACTTAAGAGAAGCCCTGGCTGGGTTGTTCAATGGTTAAAACATCAGCCCACAGATCAAAGCGTTGCAGATTCGATTCCCAGTCAAGGGCACGTACCTCGGTTGCAGTTTCCTCCCTGGCCCTGGTCGGGGCATGTGCGGGAGTCAGCCAGTCAATGTTTTTTTCTCTCTCTCTCTCCCTCCTCCTTCCTTCCACTCTCTAAAGATAAATGGAAAAATATGCTTGGATGAGGATTTAAAAAAAAAAAAAAAAAAAAGAACATAAGAGAAAAACTAGCCATCCAGTAGTTCAAGTTGATTGAGAATGACTTTGAAACCCACATCACTACCTCGGTTCTGCTGTTTTTTAAATAACAGCTTTATACATGACACACAAGTAACCCATTTAAAGTGAATAATTCCATAGTTTCTAGTATATTCAGAGTTATGCAATAATCACTATAGTTTTGGAACATTTTATCACCTAAAAAGAAAACCTACCCAGCTGGCATGGCTCAATGGTTGAGCATCAACCTATGAACCAAGAGATCATGGTGTGATTCCTGATCAGGGCATGTGCCGGGGTTGTGGGATGTGCAGGAGGCAGCCCATCAATGATTGTCTCTCATCACTCATGTTTCTATCTTTCTCTCCCTCTCCCTTCCTCTCTGAAATCAATAATAATATATTTTTTATTTTAAGTATATTTTGATTGATTTCAGAGAGGAAGGAAGAGGGACAGAGAGATAGAAACATCCATGATGAGAGAGAATCATTGATTGGCTGCCTCCTGCAAGTCCCCCACTGGGAATCGAGCCCACAACCCGGGCATGTGCCCTTGACCGGAATCGAACCTGGGACCTTTCAGTTTGCAGGCCGGCACTCTATCCACTGAGCCAAACCGGCTAGGGCAATAATAATATATTTTTTAAAAAAGAAACCCTAAACCCTAAATTCATTAAAAGTTATTTCCCCCATCTTCCAGGCCTAGGCAACCACTAATCTACTTTCTGTCTCTATAGTTTTTCCTATTTGTGAATATTTCATGTAAGAGGATCCAAGGTTCAACCTTGTTGTAGCATGTATCATTATTTTCCTGCTTTTTATGACTGAATAATATTTTGTTGTATGAATATGTCATATTTTATGGCTCAGTTTATCTGTTGGTACAGTTGGGTTGTTTCCTGAACTTTTTGTGGACATAGGTTTTCAGCTCTCTGAGTGTATATCTAGGGGTGGAATTGCTGGGTCCTATGGTAACTCTTGTGTTTACCTTTTGAAGAATTGCCAGACTGTTCTACAAAGTAGCTACACCATTTTACATGCCCACAGAGTGTATGAACGTGCCGGTTTCTCCACATCTTCCCCACACTTGTCTTTGTTATTCTAGCCGTCTAGTGCCTGTGCAGTGGTATACCATGTGGCTTTTTTGATCTGTATCTTCCTGATCTGCCCTCCTTTTTTAAAAACTCACCTTTCCTTTTTTTAATTATTGCTCCTTAGCTCAGCCCCATCCTTGTGCTTCAGAGTGATTTTGTTTGTTTGTTTGTTTGTTTGTTTTTAATCCTCATCTGAGGATATTTTTTTCCCATTGATTTTTCCAGAGAGAGTGGAAGAGAGAGGAGAGACAGAGAGAGAAACATCGATGTGAGAGAGGCATATTGATCAGTTGCCTCCTACATGAGCCCCACCAGGGAATCGAGCCTGCAACTGAGATATATGCCTTTGACTGGAATTGAACCCGTGACCCTTCAGTCTGTGGGTCAATGCTCTAACCACTGAGAAAACCGGCTAGGCCTCATAGTGTTTATTAAAAATCCCCAAAATGAGATTGTGAGCATTATATGAGATAGTCCTCAGGAGTCTGTCTGTGAGTAACAAGCCTGGACAGTTTTCTTTTCTCTGATCTAACACTGTTTTTCTTTTATGTGTGGGTCTTACTTTGTTCTGTTCTTGGAATTTTCTAGGAGAAACAGCAGTTTCAGCGCCATCTGACCCGCCCACCACCCCAGTACCAAGACCCGACACAGAGCACCTTCCCACAGCAAGTTGGGCAGTTCACAGGTGAGGGGGCATCTGGGTGATGGAGTGGGGCAGGGGAAGGTAGGCATGCCCAGAGCAGGTGGTCTGTTCCACTCGTGCTGAGTTCCTGCTGTCTGCCTAGCTTTCTGCTAGGTGCTCTGAGTTTACTTTGCTCATATAAACTTCAGTCTGCCTACGGAGCCTGCTTTCTAGTCACCCTGCGGGCCAGAAGAGGGTCAGAGAGGCAGACCACTTCGGCTAAGTACTTTGGCTGTGTCCCTGGCTATACAATCTTTTGAAGCAAAATCATGTCTAGTTGGAAGATACCTTATCAGTAGGAAATGGCTTCTGTAATTCTTTTAATTTTATTAAATACTAGAGACCCAGTGCACAAATTTGTGCACGTGTGGGACCCCCTCTGGGTAGCCTACGGGGATCGGGCCGGAACCCACAGTCCAACGCTGCCTGCAGCTCCTACCTGCTGCTCCCGCTCATCCTGGCCCCACTGTGCCTGCTGTGGGCTCGTTCCCAATCAGACCCGATCAGGAGAGGCTCGCACTGCCACAGCAGCGCTTGTCAGCTGTGAGCCCTGCGTCTGGCACCCTCCCAAGGGGAGTGACCTGGGGGATCGGGCTGAAACCGGCTCTCCATCATCCCCCAAGGAGTCCCGGATTGCAAGAGGTGCAGGCCAAGCCGAGGGACCCCACTGGTGCACGATCGGGCCGGGGAGGGGCCACAGGAGGGCTCCAGGGCATGTCTGGCCCATCTCACTCAGTCCTGATGGGCCGACCCCAGCAGCAAGCTGAGCATCTGCCCCCTGGTGGTCAGTGCACGTCATAGCGAGCAGTTGAGTGGCCTTAGCATATCATTAGCCTATTACGCTTTGATTGGTTGAGTAGATGACTGGACACTTAGCATAATAGGCTTTTATTATATAGGATATTGGGGTGACATTAGTTTATAGGCTCATATAGGTGTCAGGTGTACATTTCTATGATATGTTACCTAGATATTGCACTGTGTGCCCACCATCCAAAGTCAAACCATCTTCTGGCACCATTTCTGTAATTCTTAAGAAAGTTCTTTGCTTCAGCAAAATGACCTCTCCAAGTTTCCAGATAAGGAGACACTTAATGCACTTGTGTGGGCTTTGCTTCTTTTTTCCTTTCTGCTCACTTTGGTGACACAAGTGGCAGCATCAGCCCTGGACAGCTGACCAGGAAAGGAAGGAAGCACTCTGAGGGGTCTCAGCTGTCACGTGTCAGATATGCAAGGGAACCTGGCTGCCACTGCTCAGGCTGTCACTCTAGAAATACATAGAGATGACAGTTGACAGATGCAAGGAAATGTGGTCTGCTCTTCTCGGAATATCTTCAAAACCTGTCCTTTTCTTGGTCAGTGACTCTCACTGTAGTGTCCCAGAGAAACGGACCACAGCTGTGCATTCTGGAAGAGCCCAGGGGAGTTTTATGTGCATTGACCAGGACTGAGGAGTTGAGGTCAGCAGGCATCGCAGAAGCCTGGGTCTTAGCCAGCTTTCCTGCCTTCATCCCATCTGTTGTTGTTGTGGGCTGTCAGTGGGAGTGAAATAGACTTTCTTCCTCCACCCAGTTTTTAGTTAGGTGCAAGTGGAGAGAGTGAGAGGAGCAACAAGGTGCTCAGGTAAGGCCAACCCCTGAACAGTCGCTCTCCTGCCCACAAAAACCCGCCTCAGTTAGTGTTGTCACCATGAATCCATTGCTTAGGGCAGAGGTCCAGACAGCAAGTTCCCTGAGGACAAAGGACAGAACCTGTCTGTCACATTTCTTGCTGTCTCCTCAGGACAGCGCCCACCACAGAGCAGGTGCTCTATAAATGCCTGTTGATTGCAGTCTAGACTGCTCTGTTCCCTGAGGGTCTATGCCGTGAAGAATAAGCTCAAGCATTCTGTCACCCCTGGGGGGGAGGGAAGGGGGGGGACACATTTGTGTGCACCCCTCACCTAAGTGATTTTAACAGCTGCCCAGCAGGGTCTAAACCACAGTCACAGTCCAGTTACCTTTTGGCTTTGCAGCCCTGCCCTTCCCATGGCAGCCTCAGCTCTTCTGGATCTGGCTGAGGCTGTCTCTTCAGTTTTGTCTCTAACCAGCTGGATACTTTCGCCACAGCCCAGCCACAGACTTCCCCACACAGCCTGCCTTTCATAACTTCATACCTTTGCATACACTCTTCTCTATTTCTAGAATACTGTTTCTCCAAACTGCTAAACTTCTGTCTACCCCCCCCTTTTTTTTTAATAGATGAGTATTTACTTTGCTTAGCAGTAGAACTTTTTAAAATTTTTTTATTGATTTCAGAGAGGAAGGGAGAGAGGGAGGGAGAGAGAAACATCAGTGATGAGAAAGAATCAGTGATCGGCTGCCTTCTGCACGCCCCCTACTGGGGATCAAATCCCCCAGCCCGGGCATGTGCCCTGACTGGGAATCTAACTGCAGTCTCCTGATTCATATTTTTGTTTTTTTTAAATATATTTTTAATTGATTTCAGAGAGGAAGGGAGAGAGAGACAAAAACATCAAAGATAAGAGAGAATCACTGATCAGCTGCTTCCTGCATGTCCCTACTGGGGATCGAGCCTGCAACCTGGCATGTGCCCTTGACCAGAATTGAACCCGGGGACCCTTCAGTCCACAGGCTGATGCTCTATCCACTGAGCTAAACCAGCTAGGGCCTGATTCATATGTTGACACTCAACCACTGAGCCACACCAGTCGGGCATGTCTACCCTTTTAAAAGCTAACATATTCGTCACCATCTCTCTGAAGCCTTCCCCAAGTCTCCCAGGCATTGAGCTTTCATCCCCTGTGCTCCCACAGCCCGCTGCCTGGCCTTTGTTGTAACCCTGTCACAGCACATGGAGTCTTCACCTCCCAAAGGCAGGTCCTGAGGTGGATCCTTGGAGCCCCCAGTGCCTAGCATAGGGCCTGCACAGAGCAGAGATTGGTGGGCCTCGGAGGGTGAGCCGGTCAAGTCCACTGGCTTCTCTGTCCTGGCTTTGCCCTTCCTCTGCACCCGTCTGAATCTCCTCATTGCTGCAGACGCTGCCCCTGGCCACAGGCTCTCTTCTTTGAGGTCCCACTGGATTTCTGATTCTGCTGTTCGTGCCCATAGGCTGGCAGCTGCACCTTGGGTGGCCAAGAAATGCCAACTTGATTGACAGAATCTTCTCTGTCTTCCAGGCTCTTCTGCCGCCGTGCCTGGCATGAACAACTTGGGTCCGTCGAACTCCAGCTGTCCTCGAGGATTCCCTCAGGCCGGGAATTTGATGCCAATGGGCCCTGGACACTCGTCAGGTTCCTCTCTCTCCTCCAACTCAGGCCAGCAGGATCGGGGTGTCGTTCAGTTCACTGGCTCCCAGAGCATGCCGCAGGGCAGCCTCTATGGCATGGCCTCTGGCATAACCCAGATAGTTGCCCAGCCCCCACCACAGGCCACCAATGGACATGCCCACATTCCACGGCAGACCAGCATGGGCCAGAACACCTCAGTCTCAGCTGCCTATGGACAGAACTCTCTGGGGAGCTCTGGCCTCTCCCAGCAGCACAATAAGGGGACCCTGAACTCTGGTTTAACTAAGCCACAGGTCCCAAGGGTGTCGGCAGCCATGGGAGGCCAGAATCCTTCCTGGCAACATCAGGGAATGCCGAACCTGAGTGGCCAGACCCCAGGAAGCAACACCATAAGCCCTTTCACGGCAGCCTCCAGTTTCCACATGCAGCAGGCCCACCTGAAAATGTCCAGCCCGCAGTTCTCCCAGACGATGCCCAGTAGGCCCATGGCCCCCATGAGCTCAGCAGCTGCAGCGGGGCCCATGTTGACTCCCGTGAGTGCGCAGCAGAGGACCAGTGCCCCCGCCCCAGCACCTCCCCAGGGAGCCCCACAACAGGGCTTGCCAGGCCTGAGCCCTGGTGGGCCTGACCTGGGGGCCTTCAGCCAGAGCCCTGCCCCACCCATGGGCGGCCGGGCAGGGCTGCACTGCACCCAAACCTACCCTGTGCGGACTTCGGGCCAGGAGCTGCCCTTTGCCTATAGCGGGCAGCCGGGTAGCAGCGGGCTGTCCAGCATGGCTGGGGACGCCGATCTGATCGACTCCCTGCTGAAGAACAGGACTTCGGAAGAGTGGATGAATGATTTGGACGACCTTTTGGGGCCTCAGTAATGGGAGGATTTATGATGTTTTCAGTGTTCATACATCCTGTATTTTTGTTCTCATATTCAACAATGAGCAACTATTTGGACCAAAAGCTCACAGCCCGGTGTGCTGGGTGGGTAGAGCAAAGGCTGAGGCTGAGGCCCCACCTGGCCAGGATCTGCAGAGCCCCCTACTCCAACCCAGTGGTGTGGTCTGTCGGGCTGGCCCCAGGCCATCTGCTGGCGTCATTACCTGGTGTTGGGACAGCAGGACAGGGTTCTACAGTTGGTTTTCTATCCAAATGACCAAAAAAATGACAGTTATAGCAGTGAAACCCCACAACGTCAGGCTTATAAAAATCTGTGCCACTTGCCCTAATGCTGGGAACAAGTTTTTGTTGAAACTATATAGCAGAATTACTTGCAATTTGTAGCATAGTAAAAGATGAAATTTTTTAAAGTTTAAAGCAGAATAGGTGGTGGTTTGAGTTGATTGGGTGGCATTGGAAACCTAGGGCTTCCTTGGAAGAGCCTTTTTTATTCTTGCTCTTGGTCAGCTTTCAGGGAGTGTCACTGGAAACCTTTTCTGTAAGTAAGTCTGTGGCTGCGTGCGCCAGGGGCTCAGGATGCTGCGAGATGGCAGGGCCCCTCCCCCAGAGCGCGTGCTTCTGGGGACCCTGGTGGAGGAACCCTTCCTCCCATGCCTGGCAGCAGGCCCCGGGCTCAACACCGAGTGGGATGATTAGGATTCCTGTGTCCCTTCTGTTGTACTTTCCCACCTTCTGCAGTTAGTTTCTCTGACAGCGTGTATTTAATGGATTAGAAGGTGATCATTGAGTTGTGCACAGATGTCTTTCCTTCACCCCACTTGCCCTTCCTTTTTCTCCAGCCCAACTGGAACATCTAGTTTACTAGATGGGAGGGGGAAAGAGTCATTACAGTTCCTTAGGGAGACTCAGCATTGCGGGGAGATGGGGTCCCTCCCCAGAAGGAAGGCTTTGGGGAAGGAGAACGAAGGTGGAAGGCGGAAGGCGGAAGGCGTGCCCTGTTCTGCAGGGAGGCCCTGAACTCCACTTGTTCTTACTCTTGCCACTGCCACGTCAGATGATTGCACTTTTAAAGGTAATTGCTTTATAACACTAACATGTCCTTTCTAAAGATTCAGGGGGATTTCTCTGTAAGGTCTGTGAATGAATGGACTTGCCTAAGCTAAGAGTGGGCTGCTTGTGGAAAATGAAGGTGGAGAGAGCACTTTGGTTTAAGAAAGCAAAGTGGTCAGCACAGGGTGAGACCCTTTCACAGTGATGGAGAGAAAGCGGTCCGTGGAAGAGTGGCTGTATGCAGAGTGGTCTCGAGAAACCGCAGCTCCATTTCCCTGGAGTCTCCAAATGGTTCATTCAAGGAGCGTCCTACGTAAAGAACTGACCAAGGAACAGATTTGTGCGACCAGCCTGAGTGGCTGGGATGAAGGGTTGGGCGTTGTACACATATGGTAATGATTTGCACCAGCCGTCAGATCCTCTTCTCTAATAGCCATTTTTCACCACAAATGGTGTTGTTGGGCCATTTCCCCTTTAACTGCCCTCCCTGCCTTTCCCTGATACTGAATTTAGCTTTTGAAGAAGGGAATGAGTGAATCATAGAGCCAGTGAAGACTCCACCCTCTGAATTAGTTCCCCAGTTTGAAGGGGAAGAGGGTGACTTCAGCAGGTTTTCTACCAAAAATAGTGGGTGAAGGCTAATGATGGGCCCTTGTTCCTCTCTGGTCTCCCTCTGGCTGCTGCTCACCTCTGTCCCCAGGGCACTCCACCTCCCTCCGGGGGAGGCTGTCCCAGCCTTAGTCCCGGGCCACCTAGATAGACAGCAGGCTTCTCACTGCTGTAGTGTCAGAGCAATAAAATGTGATGCTTGGGGTCCCCCCAGGGAGCTGCCCGGCTTTATTTATGAACCTGGTTTTTGGGTAGCTGGGGAGGAGAGGACTCCCTGCAGTGCAAACTCCCTCCCCCCATCTTCCAGGAGCCATGACTCAAAAGGGTGCTCGGACTTTTGTTAAACACATTTGCTTTGTGTAAATAAATGTTTACAATTTTATATTAAAGATGGAATAAGTGTTAGAGCTTCTGACTGTATATTTTTTACTTTTATAGATTTTTAAACTATGATTCTTTATATATGTGTTCTGGGGAGCTATGATAAGTTTTATGACAAACAATTGGTATTAACTTTTTATTGTCATCAGAGTACATAAAAATCCTATTAATCCCCTTGTTCTTCTACTTCCCTTAACTCTGGTATACACCAAAAAGAAATCCTGGCTCTCGTTTTATTATTATAAAATAATAAAAGTATTTTGCTAGAATGGAAACTGCCTGTGTATTGACTTAACATGGCAGTGCCTGCAGGGTGGGCAGTGGTGTGGGCCGTGACTGCTTTGTTGGGTAGCTGGTTTTCTTTTGTGATTTCACTGTTTTCTTACTGAGCATAGGGGCGGGGTTTGGTTTGGTTTACCTCAGAGTAACTTCTGGTATTTGAAGGTAGATATGAAATTAGAACTGACGTCACTCGGGCTCTCCCATGTCTTCATGTCTATTGTGAGGGAAGATCTCCGTTCTTATCTTCTTGAGGGAAAAATTTCAATCAAGAGACAAAGTGTAGAAAAGCAAACAAGAATTGATTAAAGCAAAATATACCTCGGAGAGTGAAGCAAGGCAGGGCATAGAAGCAGCAGCAGAACCTGGGCTGGGAAGTCAGAGAAAAGGGGGCCTTGGAGACGGACAGGCTCAGGGGGTTGGCCCGGGCTAAGCTGCCGCTGCCCATTGCTCCCCTGGTTGCAAGCTTCATGTCGGAGACCAGGGTGTACATGCCTGTGAGGGAAGGAGGAGGAAAGGGAATGGCTCGGTGTGCTCCGGGAGGAGAGAGCCCAGTGGGACCTTCGTTTTCAGGGGTTTAAAGGCTGGGCACTTAGGGGAGGTCTTGGGGATGGATGGATAGAATATTCATCAGCCTTATGCGCATAATGTGTCTGTCTGTTGGTGTGGTTAGCTAATGGCACTTAATTGGATTTCTGTTATCTGTCTCCCTGTGGAGAGGATTTAAGCTATTTACCCTCTGGTTGGGGAGGAGAAGTGCAGACCATTTACTTTTTTTTTTTTTTTTAAGAGAGAGAGAAAGGGAGATAGATGGAAAGATTGATGAGAGAAACATCGATTGGTTGCCTCCTGCATGCCCCCTACTGGGGATCAAGCCCACAACCCAGGCATGTGCCCTGGCCAGGAATTGAACCTGGGACCTCTTGGTTCATGAGTTAACGCTCAACCACACTGGCCAGGCACAAACCACTTACTCTTAAGTGTTCTTGGTTATAGGATTTACTAGGTGGGCACAAATTACTGTTTAACTATCAGTCTCAGGGTCCCTATTCTGCTTGTCCTAGGATTTTCCTAGCTCTTACTCTGCTCTAACAGTTGGACCAGTCTTTTCTTTCTTTCTTTTTCTATTTTTTTTTTCTTAATCCTCACCTGAGGATATTTTTCCATTGATTTTTAGAGAGAGTGGAAGGGAGAGGAAGAGACAGAGAAACATCAATGTGAGAGACACATCAATTAGTTGCCTCCTGCACCCCCACCAGGGCTGGGGAACCTGCAATGAAGGTTCCCTTGACCAGAATCGAACCCAGGACCCTTCAGTCCTTGGGCTGACGCTCTATCCACTGAGCCAAACCAGCTAGAGCCAGATACTTTAGGTCTGAATAGTTCCAATGTTTTACAGCCGTACGTTATAGATGTTGCAGGTTTGGTTCTAGACTACCTCACCTCAATAAAGTTGATAACTTCGTACAACAGTCGCATGAATTTTTTGGTTTCCCAGTGCACATAAAAGTTATGCTTACGTAAACTATACTATAGTCTAAGTATACAGTCACATTATGTCTTAAAAACAAAAACAAACAAACGAAACAGCCCAGCCGGCACGGCTCAGTGGTTGAGCAGGAGGTCACGGTTCCATTCCTAGGCAGGGCTGGAACTGATGCTTCTATCTCTCCCTCTCCCTCTCAAATCAATAAAAATATATTGTAAAAATAATAAAAAAATAATAAATTAGCTCTAGCAGGTTTGGCTCAATGGATAAAGCGTCGGCCTCAGGTTCCATTCCAGCCAAGGGCCACATGCCTGGGTTGCAGGGTCGGTCCCCAGTAGGAGTGTGCAGGAGGCAGCCAATCAGTGATTCTCTCTCATTGATGTTTCTATCGCTCTCTCCCTCTCCCTTCCTCTCTAACATCAATAAAATATATTTTAAAATAGTAATAAATTTAAAAAGCAATGTGTTTAATTTAAAAATACTTTATTGCTAAAAAATGTCATAATCTTTCTGCTGGCGACAGTTTTTGCCTCACTGTTGATGGCTGTTGACTGATCAGGGTGGCAGTTCTTCAAAATGAGACGACAATGAAGTTATCTGCTCAGCTGGCCTCTTCCTCTCCTGAATGATTTCTCTGTAACATGTGATGCTGTTTGATAGCGTTAGACTCAGAGTAGAATTTTTTCCAAAATTGGAGTCAGTCCTTTCAAACCTGCTGCTTCAAGTTTTCTTCAGCTTCTCACCTCTCGGCCTTCACAGAGCTGGGCCTGGCTCTGGGTTAGGCTTTGTTGTAAGGAGGATGAGCCTTTTTTCTGCCAAGGGCCATTTGGGTATTTATAACACTCGTGGGCCACAGGCAATTACCAACTTAGAAATGAGCCTGCTGTGTTTGGTCAAACATTTAATGAACTCACCCCTCACGCCTTGGCCGGGCCAGACATTCCCCAGCCCTGGCTTAAGGGAAGGCTGTGGCTGGTTTGAGCCATCAACACCACTAAACTTTTCCACATTCGCAATAAGAGTTTCACTTTCTTACCATCTGTATGTTCACTGGAGCAGCACTTTAAATTTCCTTCAAGAACTTCCCCTCGGCCTTCCCACCGTGGCTGACAGCCAGGAGTCCTGGGGCTCAGCCTGTCTCGGCTTCCAACATGCCTTCCTCACACAGCTTAACATTCCTAAGCTTCTGACCTTAAAGCGGGAGACGCACTCGAACATTTAAAGGCCATTATAGGGAACCCTGTGCACTGCTGTGGGAATGCAGTCACGGTTAGTGCAGCCACTATGGAAAACATTGTGGAGTTTCCTCAAAAAAATTAAATATGGCCCTAGCCCATTTGGCTCAGTGGATAGAGCATCGGCCTGGGGACTGAAGGGTCCCAGGTTCAATTCCCGTCAAGGGCATGTACCTTGGTTGCAGGCACATCCCCAATAGGGGGTGTACAGGAGGCAGCTGATTGATGCTTCTCTCTCATCAATGTTTCTAGCTCTCTATCCTTCTCTCTTCCTCTCTGTAAAAAATCAATAAAATATATATTTTTAAAGTAACTTATTAAAAAAAATTAAATATGGAACTCCATTTGACCCAGTGATCCCACTTGTAGGAATATATCCTAAGAATCCCAAAACACCCATCAGAAAGAATGTATGCACCCCTATGTTCATAGCAGCACAATTTCCAATAGCTAAGATCTGGAAACAGCCCATCAGTAGATGAGTGGATAAAAAGCTGTGGTGCATTTATACTATGGAATACTATGCAGCTGTAAAAAAGAAGGATCTCTTACCCGTTGAGACAGCATGGAGGGACCTGGAGAGCATCACGCTAAGTAAAATAAGCCAGTCAGAGAAAGACAAGTATCACATGATCGCACTCATACATGGAATCTAATAACAAACTGATGACATGGAAGCATGGGACAGTGTGGAATCTCCGAGGAAAGACAGGGGAGGGTGGGTGGAAGGTAATCAACCAAAGAACTTGTATGCATATATGCATAACTCACGGACGCAGACAGTGGGGTGGTGAGGGCCTGGGGTAGGGGGCAGGGGTGGGCTGGAGGGGATTGATGGGGGGAAAGGGGACATTGTAATACTTTCAGCAATAAAGATTAAGTAAATAAAATAAAGGCTATTAAAGGATTGTTAATTGGCCTGATGTCAATATTGTTGGGTCTCAGGGAAGTTCACTCTCCCCAGTAATCAAAGAAGTGCAAATGAGAACAGAGGGAGCTTGCTCTGCCGCCAGGTTGACCGAGGCGAGCCGGGCTGGCTGCAGTGCGCTGAGGCAGGCTGCCGTACAGCTTTCTGTGGGAAGAAAATTTATAAAAGGTATCAGGTTCCTTAAAATGTTCATGCCATCTGTCCAATCCAGCAATTCCAATTCTGAGAAGCCATCCTTGCATATAATTATGGCTGCAGAGAAAGATTATAGCACAGGCCTTACAGCTGCAAAAACCTGGGGCAGTTTCCATGGCTGCCAGAGGGTCGGTTAAGTAAGTGCAGTACTTCCACTTGATGAGATACCATACACTTATTTTAAATACTTAGGGAGGCTTAAACTTGGGCTTCTTATATTACAAGCCGATAAAAAAATCTGGCTAATAAAACCAAAAATTCCCTGTCCCGGGCTCCACCTTAAGGTTAGCACTGTAGCTCCCATAGTCAAAGGCGGCACTGAACAGCCAGGCCCCGGGGGTAAGGCCAGGAGGTTCCCAAGCTCTGAAGCTCTGCCGCCATCCTGGGTCTGTCTGCTGTCATCCTGGGTCTGTCTGTCTGCCGTCATCCTGGGTCTGTCTGTCTGCTGCCATCCTGGGTCTGTCTGTCTGCTGCCATCCTGGGTCTGTCTGTCTGCTGTCATCCTGGGTCTGTCTGTCTCCGCCATCCTGGGTCTGTCTGTCTGCTGCCATCCTGGGTCTGTCTGTCTGCCGCCATCCTGGGTCTGTCTGTCTGCTGCCATCCTGGGTCTGTCTGTCTGCTGTCATCCTGGGTCGGTCTGTCTGCTGTCATCCTGGGTCTGTCTGTCTGCCGTCATCCTGGGTCTGTCGCAGGTCACCCGCCGGCTCAGGGAGGTTCCCCCAGGGACAGTTTACTGGCACATGTTTGTGGAGCAGCTGCTGTGCCCAGGTATTGCCCTGAGAGTAGAAACAGCAGGAGATGGAGGGCAAGGTCCTTTGCCTGGACCTTGCAGTCTCTTGCAGGGGAACGTCACAAGCAGGTGAACAAGATGATTTGAGAGTGGTGAGTGCTGGGAAGGAACTCAAGCAGAGTGAGAAGAGGGCGCTGCAAGGGTGAGGGGAGGCCAGGGCATCTTCAGACGCGGTGGGCAGGGCAGGCCCCTTGAGGGAGACAGGTGGCTGGGCCGAGGCTGGACCGGAGCCAGGCAGAGCTGGGGGAAGAGCAGTCAACAGCCACGTGGAGGACCAGTTCCCCAAAGGAAGAGCCTGTAAACAGGAGGGAGGAGTGCTGAGACAGCACCGCTGACACGAGTGTTCGATTTAAAGCACAAAGGGCATTGTTGCCCCAGCGGGGGAGTGGGCCCTCACTACTCGGAGATGCCCAAGGGAAGACAGGGTGTCAGGCAACTCCTGCCACGAGCAGCAGCATTTCCAATGCGGCAGCCTGAACACCTGGAACTAATATAAAATACGACTGAATGTCAACTGTAATTGACAATTATTTTTAAAGAGCAGCCTGAAGGCCCCCAGCTGAGGGAGGCCTGAAAGGGTTACAGGCACCAGAGAGGCGTATCCGAGAGCACGGAGTCACAGGGAGAGGGCTGTCCCCGCTCGCTCGATTCTTTTTTTCTCTCTTTAGTATATTTTTATTGATTTCAGCGAGGAAGGGAGAGGGGGAGAGAGAAACATCCAGTCATGAGAGAGAATCATTGATCGGCTGCCTCCTGCATGCCCCCTACTGGGGATCGAGTCCACAACCCAGACATGTGCCCTGACCAGGAATCGAACTGTGACCTCCTGGTTCATAGATTGACCCTCAACCACTGAGCCACACTGGCTGGACCCCACCTTGATTCTTCTCATGCTCAAAGAATGAATTCAAATGAGTGACTCCAGATAATTTCGTTGTGATAAAGGCAATTTCTTTTTTAAAATAAGCATTTATTAAAGAAACAAGGCAAACAAATCTACTAAACTACATCTGAGCTGGAACTCAGTCTGGCGGGCGTTCCAAGGGTTATATACCCTTCTGTCTATAGATCAGCGGTTCTCAACCTGTGGGTCGCGACCCCTTTGGCGGTAGAACGACCCTTTCACAGGGGTCGCCTAAGACCATCCTGCATATCAGATATTTACATGACGATTCATAACAGTAGCAACATTACAGTTATGAAGTAGCAACGAAAATAATTTTATGGTTGGGTCACAACATGAGGAACTGTATTTAAAGGGCCAGAAGGTTGAGAACCACTGCATAGATTTTGAATTCCTCTGCTAGATCTCCTGGTACAGGTTAACCCTGAAGCTCTCTCTCCCTTTTACTTTGTTATGGCTTTCCCAGAATTTATGAGAAGCACCTGGCAATTAAATCCCAAAACTGCTGGCTTCTCTGTTCAAACAGCGGGAGGAGACAAGCCTGCCCTCTTCCTCCCGCCTCCCAGCCTCATCTGTTAGTTTCAGGGCGATTTAAGCTGTGTATTCTCTAGTTGCATTAAGGTTCCTTCCCTTCTCCCCCTCCCCTCCCCCTCCTCGCCAGCATTCCTTGGAGAGACAACCGTTTGCTCTCAAGCTCCCTGGCTGGGGGAAGATAAGGGCTTGCTATTTACAAGCTGGTTGCAGGCTGCCAAACTGCTTGGCCTTGTTTAATTTTGTCTCAGTTTCCCTATTCCTCCTGCCTTGGAATTTTTCTTGCTTTTTGCTGAAATATGCAAAGCGGTAGTTACCTGTGAACTTGGTCCAGGCTAGTGGCTGAACTCACCCAGAAGTTGAGGGCACTCGGGCCAGCAGGCACTCCTCAGCGTGTGGGACCAATTGGCCCGACGGCCCTTTCTTTCCCCTGTGTCTTCAGCTGGTGCTGCACCTGCTGCTTTGCAGATGGAGTGCTGCATGCAGACCCTTTCATGAAGGTGTGGGAACCAGTGTGGCAGGGACAGAACCCTCAGGGTCACCTCCTCAGTGTCCTGAGGTGCAGTCTCTGGAGGGGTGACCTGCCAAGGAAAAGGAGGTGCTGTCCGCTGCAAAAACACAGGTGACAGTAAGTACAGCGTCTGCCCCGGGGGCGTGGGGCGTGGGGCGTGGAGCGCAGGATTTCCTGTTCTGTCCAATGTGGTGAAGTCTGAAGCCTTCCCTGCCCGCTTCCCTGCCTCCTGCCTCAGGCCACTCTGAGTAGGTCCCTCTGGAAGCGTGGAGAGGAGCAGGGACAGCTGTGGGAGGACACAGGGCTATGAGGCCGCTCACGGAGGCCACGCAGGAGGCTCGGTTCATGGTTGTACCTGGGCAGCAGAACCTGCCACGGCTGTGGAAAGAGAGTGGAATTGTGCTCCTGGTAAGTGGTGAAGGCTCCAGCTGCAGGATGCTGTAGCTTCCTCACCCTGACACGAGGGCCATCCCTGATCTTGAATACTAAGAGTCTACGTTGGTTCTGTGCTTTCAAACGTATCCAGGTTCTTGCCCTGGCCGGTGCTCAGTGGTTAGAGCGTCAGACTGTGCACAAAGGGTCACAGGTTTGATTCCCGGGCAAGGGCATGTATCTGGTTTGTAGGTTTGATCCCGGACCACCACGCTATGACATGCACTGGCGCCAGGCCAGCCAAGGCGGGTGCGATGCGATTGGTCGGAGGGGCCCCACCATCACCCCACGATTGCCCCACAGAGAGAGGCCCAGGCCAGCCAAGGCGGGTGCGATGCGATTGGTCGGAGGGGCCCCACCATCGCCCCACGATTGCCCCACAGAGGGAGGCCCAGGCCAGCCAAGCAATCGCACCCCAGGCCTGTCGCCCACAGAGGGAGGCGACCGGTGGTGGTGGAGGGGGGCAGCACCACACAGATGGCAAGCAGTGGCAGCTGTGGGGATGGGGCCAGCTGCTGGTGGCTGGAGGAGGGAAAGCCCCAATAGACCCTGATTGCTGGCCAGGCCTAGGGACCCTACCCGAGGGGTTCCGGATTGCGAGAGGGCACAGGCCAGGCTGAGGGACACTGCTTCCCCTTCCCCCTCCTTCCCTGTGCACGAATTTTGTGCTCTGGGCCTCTAGTATTTAAATAAAATAAAAAGAGCAAAAATCTGTGGCTTCAGAAGGCTGTTCCTGGGAGCTGTCAGTGATGCATTTAAGAAAGACAATGAGCCCTGGCCGGTGTTGCTCAGTGGATAGAGCATCAGCCTGCAGACTGAAAGGTCCCAGGTTCAATTCTGGTCAAGGGCACATGTCCGGGTTGTGGGATCGATCCCCAGCAGGGGGTGTGTAGGAGGCAGCTGATCAATGATTCTCTCTCATCACTGATGTTTCTATCTCTCTCCCCCTCCCTCTTCCTCTATGAAATCAATAAAAATAAAATACTAGAAAGAAAGAAAGAAAGAAAGAAAGAAAGAAAGAAAGAAAGAAAGAGAAAGAAAGCAAGAAAGAAAGAAAAGAAAGAAAGAAAGAAAGAGAAAGAAAGAGAGAAAGGAAGAAAGAGAAAGAAAGGAAGAAAGAGAAAGAAAGAAAGAAAGAAAGAAAGAAAGAAAAAGAAAGAAAGAAAGAAAGAAAGAAAGAAAGAGAAAGAAAGAAAGAAAGAAAGAAAGAAAAGAAAAGAAAAGAAAAGAAAAGAAAAGAAAAGAAAAGAAAAGAAAAGAAAAGAAAAAAGAAAAGAAAAGAAAAGGAAAGAAAGAAAGAAAATGAAAAGCTGAGGGTGATTAATCATCAGCTGAAGACAGTGCGGTGTCAGAGGGCCTCCCTGGCAGCCTATCGGAAGGGCACACAGAGCTGAGTGGATCAGCCAGGATCTCGATGTGAAGGTTGCACTCTCAGCCCACCACGTGCACTACACCAAGGTCACCGTCCTGGTTAGGAGGAGGGGGGGCCTGACACTCCGATGGGCACAGCTGATTGCTGCCCTAGGAAACCTCGAGAGGCAGATCCCCAACCTCTGCCTGTAGGTGAGCTGCTCCTCCCTCCTGAGGGCTGGTGCTTTCTTCTTCCTTGCAAGTCACACACAGGGGCCCTGGCCAGTTAGCTCAGTTGGTTAGAGCATCACCCTGATAGGCCAAGGTCGTGGGTTCTGTTAGAGCCAGGACCATGGGCCGGTACAGAAACTCACCAGGGCTGAAAGCCCCTGATGCCCACCTAGCAAGGGGCAAGCTGGGAAAACCAGAACCTCACCCCTAGCACATCACTGGTCATGAGGTTGAGACCCCCTGAACTTTTCCTCCCTAAAGATAATATCTAGGCCTCAGTTATAGTTCAGCTCCAGGCCCAGAAAACTGGCAAAACCAAATAAGTGTCTCAGGACCAGCTACATTGACGAATGACCGCCTGGCACCAACCAATCAGTAGAGACCACGACGGTGAAGCGCACCCTGGAAAGCTGATGACTATCATTAAGACCCTCCACTAAGATTTCCACCTGCAAGAGAGAGAAACACACTCAGGACAAAGGACCCGGTGCGCGCTCCCCCTCCAGGGCATGCCCGTGCCATCCCCCCACAGGCACGCATCCCCCAACCTCTAAGGGACCCCAGGAGACTTGCAACCAGGGGAGCCATGGACAGCAGCCCTTCCCTTTGGATATCCCCATCTCCCATCCCCTTTTCCTTAAATGAATTCAGTTTTCTTTCATCACCATCTGAGATGGCTATTTAGCCTGCCTGCCTGAGTAAACTTCAACGTTTCAGGTTCAATCTCCGGTCAGGGCACATACAAGAAACAACCAATGAATGCATAAATTAGTGGAACAACAAATTGATCTCTCTCTCTCTCAAATCAATTTTTTTTTATTGTCAATAGTTTTTATTTTTTTTTAATTAAATCTTTATTGTTCAGATTATTACAGTTGTTCCTCTTTTTTCCCCCCATAGCTCTCCTCCACCCAGTTCCCACCCCACCCTCTGCCCTTACCCCTCCCACTGTCCTCATCCATAGGTGTACGATTTTTGTCCAGTCTCTTCCTGCACCCCCACGCCCCTTTCCCCCCAAGAATTGTCAGTACACACCCTTTCTATGCCACTGATTCTATTATATTCACCAGTTTACTCTGTTCATCAGATTTTTTATTTACTTGGTTTTTAGATTCACTTGTTGATAGATATGTATTTGCTGTTCATAATTTTTATCTTTACCTTTTTCTTCTTCCTCTTCTTAAAGAATACCTTTCAGCATTTCATATAATACTGGTTTGGTGGTGATGAACTCCTTTAGCTTTTCCTTATCTGTGAAACTCTTTATCTGACCTTCACTTCTGAATGATAGCTTTGCTGGATAAAGTAATCTTGGTTGTAGGTTCTTGGCATTCATCACTTTGAATATTTCTTGCCTCTCCCTTCTGGCCTGCATAGTTTCTGTTGAGAAATCAGCTGACAGTCTTATGGGTACTCCCTTGTAGGTAACTGACTTTCTTTCTCTTGCTGCTTTTAAGATTCTCTCTTTGTCTTTTGCCCTTGGCATTTTAATTATGATGTGTCTTGGTGTGGTCCTCTTTGGATTCCTTTTGTTTGGGGTTCTCTGGGCTTCCTGGACTTGTAAGTCTATTTCTTTCACCAGGTAGGGAAAGTTTTCTGTCATTATTTCTTCAAATAGTTTTCAATATCTTGCTCTCTCTCTTCTTCTGGCACCCCTATAATTCGGATGTTGGTGCGCTTGAAGTTGTCCCAGAGGCTCCTTACACTATCTTCATATTTTTGGATTCTTTTTGCTTTTTGCTTTTCTGGTTGGGTATTTTTTGCTTCTTCGTATTTCAAATCTTTGACTTGATTCTTGGGATCCTCTAGTCTGCTGTTGGATCTCTGTATATTATTCTTTATTTCAGTCAGTATATGCTTAATTTCTAGATGGTCTTTTTTCATATCCTCCAGGGTCTCACTAAATTTATCGGCGGTTTCTAGAAAATTCTTGAAAAACCTTATAACCATGGTTTTGAACTCTATATCCAGTCGTTTGCTTTCCTCCATTTCTGTCATTTGTGACCTGTTTCTTTGTCTCCGCATTTTTTTATGCTTCCCTGTGTTGGTAGAGTGGCTTTGTGTGCTAGGTGTCCTATAGGGCCCAGTGGCTCAGCCTCCCCAATTACCTGAGGTGGACACTCTTGGTGCACCCCTTTGTGAGCTTTGTGCACAGTCTTGTTGTAGTTAAGCCTTGATTGTTGTTGGTATCACTGGGAGGAATTGACCTCCAGGCCAATTGGCTGTGAGAATCAGCTGTGTCTGCAGTGGGAGAACTTCTGTGCTGAAGACACCCTTCTGGGGCAAGACTTGCTTCAGTGGGGCTTTTGTGCTCACTGAGTCTGCCCCCTGAGTGTGTCCCTTATGGATCTGAGGAGTTGTAATCTGGATGGTCCCACTCTGACCACTGGGTACACTGGCTCTTGGATCTAAGGAGGTGCTAATTTAGCCTCTGCCTGAGGTTACCCAGCAGGAGCTACGAAGAGATCTGCAGGTTCCCCTTCCTTGTTTGGGGTTTGGAGGTGCCCAGATGAGGCCCAGCTGTGAAGCAATGCAAGCTGCTATGGGACCTTGGGCCTTCTTTTGGAAGTTCTGGGTCTCTCTGATTCAGCTGCAGTTTGTTAGGTAATTTTCAGATTGCAAAGGGCCAGGGCATTCATATGCAAAAGCCTCTGCCACAGCTTGGGTGGGGCGGGGTCTCAGGGAATCAACAGGGCGGAGCAAGCAGCTATGGCTGATCCTCAGTCCTGCCCTAAGGGGCCCCGAATCTCAGTGTCCTGGTAATCGCTGCAAGCACCACTGAGAGAAAGCCGCCCTCAAGTTCCAAGTTCTGCCCGCTGCCAGACAGTCCAGTTTCTCCCCGTATGAGTCTGGGTCCCCAGAGACTCACCTGGAACTGGAGTTCAGAGCAGTCAGGGGCTTGTGACTCCCTCCCGATTCAAAAAGACAGCCGAGTCCTCAGTTGCCAGCCCTTTCCACGTGCACCTCCGTACCTCTGCACTTTACTTCCGCACCTCCTCTGAGTCTCAGTGTGCTTTTCTCTTTCCTTCCCGTTGTAGAATTTCCACTCAGCCAGCCTTCCTGTAGTTCTGGATGATGTCCGTTTTTTCTTTTAGTTGTATTTT